TATTATCTCTATAAAAAAAAACAATATAAATTGTTGACGTTACTTAACCACACAAAACAGGAGGGCATTGGAAGTGGGAGGGCAAACAATCCTTGTCCATGATTTAGGTTGCATGAAGAGTGAATAATATGATGGAGGTATGATTGGAGAGAGATGGAAATAAAAGAGGAAAAGGACGGGCGGGAGTTAAGTGAGAGAATTGAGGAAAGGCCAAGATAGAATAGACTAGAAAATGATGAAGAGGGGCGAAGAGATAAGGAAATGAATAAGGTGAAGAGAGAAGGGTAAACATATTTGGCATGCTTCATTGACATATTTATAATTATTATAAATATTTCATTGATTATGTCCAAAAAAAAATTGACCAATGATATATAGCTGATTGGTAAAGATTTTATTGACCTTTGGCTAAATAACCTTATAATATATATATCAGAGGCTTCTTGAATCAACAAGAAATAAAACTTAAAAATAAGGTCAACATTTTTTTTGTTCCCTAGTCATCTAAAGCAAAAACCAAAGAAAATCTTCACTTGCTTATTTAATGGGTAATTAGCCCTAGTTTGGTATTGAAGTGATTATGAAAAAAGTGGCTATAAAAAAAAGCTAGGAGCTTTTTTATGTTTGGTAAACATTCAGTTTTAGCTTTTTTCCATAGTTATGGTTGAAAAAAAAAGCCAAAAACACTAAGCTGCAAAACCCATCTTTGAAAAACCAGCTTTTTTTCACATTTGTTTTACATAAAAATTTATCAAACACTATAATATTGCTTTTTTTTTTTAAAAAAAAAGCACTTTTACAAAAATGTTTACCAAACACTCTGCTGCTTTATTTCACAGCTGCTTATTCTCACAGCACAGCAGAAACAGTTTTTTTTTCAAAGCACAACAATACCACACCAGCCCTTAGTCATATCCCTTGTTAATACACAAAATCAGTGAGACTTTGGAACAACGTAAAGTGTCGAGTTTGTGACATTCGCTTAGTTGCTCCGGTCACCTAGTGATGATAATATGTAAAGAGAGAGATAAGGAAGCAAACACAAGATGTACATGGTTCACCCTAAGTTTGGCTACGTCCATGGGGTAGAGGAGTTCTCATTAATAGTGAAGATTTTACACAATACATAGGTTCAAGCATAATCAACATTAGTGGCTTCTAACGACGAGTTAAGCAGAGTAATGACATTCAGAATTAATTGTAGGAGAATGATTTTCTTTTATAGTTGAGGAGAGTTGTTGGCTTCCGTTCGCGGTCGATGTGGGACTCTAGGAGCTTTATTTTGATATTGACACATGTCGTGTTGTGATTGGTCTCATGATTGGAGAGGAACTTGTGTGCTTCGACAGGGATGCCTCAACACGAACCTTTAAGTGAGTCCCTAAAGGTATGGAGTTGACCGGTGCTATGTAGTTTCTGGATTGATGAAGTATGGTACAAACATCCCTTAAAACTGTCAAGTTTTTCTTCCATACCAATTGATGCTCCTAAAAGAAGAATGCATGTAGTTGAATGCCTCTATAAACCTGTTGGTTGGTCACCCCTACAAAAGTGAAAGATGATATATTTCACCTTTATATGGTCCCAAATACGTTCTCATTTGTGGGTAACTCGCGTCTACCATATAATATTTTCCTGACAAATAGAAAATTTGTTTGCAAATATAATAATTACACAAAGTGAGTATGCAAAATGTTAATAACAAGTATGAAGATTCCAAGCCCGTATTCTACACGACACGTCCTGAGTGGTGGATTACATGATGGTGGTCAGGGGGAGGTTGAAATGCCTTTATGAGTCCTCTCGGTACCCGAAAGGGTGAACTGCCGTGGCAAAGTCACCAGCTGGTCCTTTTTTTTTTTTTTTTAAAGTAAGAAAATTACCACTTGGGGGCATAGGAAAATTAAATTGGACTCCGTGGCACCGATAGAAAGCCCATTGTATCATATGGTGTCTTCCTATCTGATACAAGCAAATGTGAATTACATGTCTAATTACATGCGGCCATAACATTGTGTGTCAACCTTCCTTTCCTACCAATGTCTGAAACTTGACCCGGAGGTGGTATTGAAGTATCAACATGTACTACATCTATGACACCAATATAATCCTAAAAATAATAAGGTAAACGAAAACCGTCAACCAAAACATTATAATTACCAAATAAGATAGAAGAAGAATAAATAAAGTTTACCATAAAATGAGGCATGCATCTAATATTTTTCTTAAGGGATACTTTGGATGCGGTTCCTAATCCTTAACATTCTTTGATTAAAACCTTAATAGTATTCAAAGTTTGATCAAAGTCCCTTGACTTTGTACACCTCATTATATTACTATTAATATTTATATTTTTATAGTTTTGACATTAATTGTTTGATATTTTATGAGATTTATAATCCTATAAATTTAAAATCCCTCATTATAATACTATTAGAAATGGTTACAATAAAAAAATTCAAACATTTTGATTGAATAAATAGATAAAAACTATGCAAAAATAAGAAATAATAAATGGCAAAAGAATGTATCCATAGTGTTAAAAATATTGGTACATTTCACATATAACAAAGTGGTACATTAATAAAGAAGAATGAGTACATTATAAATAAATTAGGGTACAAATAAAAGATTAAAAAAATTATGAGTACAAATGAATTTTAAAAAAATATAGGCGCTAAAAGAAATTAATACATGGGTACAAAATAAAACTAAAAAGAAAATACTACTAATTAAAAAAAAATGTTGCAAATTAAAAGTGAGTACAAACTAAAAATATAAATATATGATACAAAGTTTAGGCATAAAACATAAATATACCATATGTAATTTTTCTATCATTGATTAAATATACAATGTCACGTGACAATATACGCATGGGTACAAATACAAATAAAACTTTAAAAAATATGGCCACAAAAAGAAACTAATATATGGGTACAAATTAAAAATGAAAAGAAAATTGGTACAAATTAAAAAGTATTTGCAAATTAAAAGTAGGTACAAACTAAAAATAAAAATATATGATAAAAAATTTAGCCATAAATATAAATATACTAATTGCAACATTTTTAACACTAAAGGAATATATTTTAAAAATAAAAATATTTTATTATTCAAATAATTAAATGATGTTATTAATACCCAAGGACCTTGATCAAAAATTGAAAATGAATAGGATTTTAATCAATGAAGTAACAAAAAGAAGGATGCGAACCTAATTTCTCATTTTCTTAATTTCTTGTGAAGTGCCACTAAACTTGGAATCCATCGATGCCATAATATCTATTGTCATTTGACATACAATATCCAATATAGCACCAAAATATCTACTAACAATGTCACTACAATGTTGAAATCTCACTTGTGGTAATCTATTTTTCACATCATGTCCCAACATATTATATTTTAGTTGCATTCATTCTCATTGAACCTCTCATTCCATAATTAGTTTGAACCATTTCAAGCAAATTAATCTCAGCAGTTAGTAACAGCAAACTAATAATTTTTTTGTTTTTAGTACAACAACATATTTTACACTAAGGGGAAGGGGGGAGTTTGGTTAAACCACATAATGGACAATCTAATTTGGTATTGAATTCGCCATCTACGAAATTCGAACCTAAAACCGCTCACTTACAAGTAGAGAGGAATACCACTAGACCGTAGAACTGAGCGGAAACAAACTAATAACTTTCAACACACAAAAATAGTGTATGGGAAATTATCCCATTAAACTTGAGTTGTGCAAGGCACCTACTTGGAATGTTTTGAATAGGTAATCCAACATATGGAAATACAATTATCCTTTCTTTTATTTTTCATTTATCCCAAACTTTCCCGAAATACAATTAACACAAAAAAAAAAAAAAAAAAAAAAAAAGCAGAAAATAGAAGCCGTTCATTCATAACGAAAACAGATGGACAAATTTAAGGCATATTCGGATATTCCTTTATTAACGTATAACTCGGAGTCGGGTATTAATCCCTGTAACCTAATTAAGAACAAACTTTACCATTGTTGGGACCGTAAATTCACAAAATTATCTTATTGGCCAATGGTAAAAAATACGTAACGAACACTGAGGAGAGTGAGAGACTACGTGGTAAAAAATATGTAACAAACAGGGGGCGGTTACGTTTTGGTGGGCTGGGCAACACTGTAATGTCGTCAGGACCAGCAATTGGCAGTTTTTTTTTCTTCTAATTAATTGTAATTTTTTTATATTAAAAATGTAAAAGGGAAAAATAATAAAATTAACCACCCTAAAACGAGGAGATTCTTCAATTATCAACTTGAAAATTAAAGGCTTATTTTAGGTATGCCTCGTGGAATTTTATTTTATTCTTACTTTGTTTATTGTAAATAAAAAATCATTATTTTATTCATTAAAACTTAAAATGCGTTTCATTTTAACTTGTGGACTTGCTTTTCTCACTGAAACTTATAGATCTTCTCCTAAAACATACGTGAAACCTAACATCCAATAAGATTATGTCACATGTGCAACAAATTGGATTATAAATCTTTATTATGCGTTAATATTTAACAATCAGAAAATATTAAGTTTAAAAGAAATTGAAGAAATGTATAAAAAAAAATGAAATACTCATGTAAGAAATTAACAGATCTAATTCGATGTGGAGTAAATTTTGAGTTCATATAGATGACTTTCAAGTTTTAGGGGCAAAATAAAATCAAAATCGAGTTCCAAAGGGCAAAGTGAAGTAAACTTTGAGTTTTATAAAGTAAAATAACTTTTGAATTATAGAGAACAAAGTAAAATTAAAAATTTAGTTACAAGAGTTAGCTAAAAATAAGCTAATGTTAAATTATTATTTTATCTTTTAAATTAAATTATTGTTCTTTAACATTTTAGTTAAAAATAATAACCTTTTCTATAAGTTCAAAATTTTAATATCGCCATCATTATTCCACTGCGCTTGGGTTTTGGTGGCGTGCCCGTTCTCCGACCCAAGCTTCCCCCCCCCTCTCTCTGTCCTCGCTCGCTCTCTCTCTCTCTCTCTCTCTCTCTCTCTCTCTCTCTCCCCCCTCCTGTCACACACTCTGAGGCAACGACCACCAAATCAGACACACTCCCTCTCTCTCTCATCCGTAGCTCCAAAAATCCAATATGCCTCCGCCCCATCAGCCTCACTCGCACTCTCACCGCCGTTCGATCGACCCCAAAATCTGGAGGGCCTGCGCCGGAAACTCCGTCCAAATCCCCTCCCTCCACTCTAGGGTTTACTACTTCCCCCAGGGACACCTTGAGCAATCCTCCTCCTCCAACTCCTCCTCCTCCGCCGCCCTCCTATCCCCTCTCCTCCTCTCCAAGCCTCTCATTCTCTGCCGGATCTCCGCCCTCCACTTCCTCGCCGTCCCCACCACCGACGAGGTCTTCGCCAAGATGCTTCTCGTACCTATTCCCCAGGAGTTCCCCAACCTCGAGCAGCCGAACGGAGAGGAGTTCGACGCCGATGATGGCGGGGACTCGGAACGACAGGACGACAAAGTCGTTTCGTTCGCGAAGATACTGACGCCTTCGGATGCTAACAATGGGGGTGGATTCTCTGTTCCAAGGTTCTGTGCCGACTCTATATTCCCTCCGCTTAACTACCAGGCCGACCCGCCGGTCCAGATGCTTTCCGTCACCGACCTCCACGGTGTCGTTTGGGAATTCCGGCACATATACAGGGGGACTCCGAGACGGCACTTGCTTACCACCGGCTGGAGCAAGTTCGTCAACCACAAGATGCTCGTCGCTGGCGACTCTGTCGTTTTCATGAGGAACGGGAGAGGTGAGATGTTCATCGGCGTCCGCCGCGCCGTTAGGTCCACTGCCAGCTCCGATTGCGCTAGGTTGAGCTCTCAGATAGGAGGCGGAGTGACGTACTCGACGAGGCTGAATACGGAGGATCAGGACTGTTCTGGAAGGAAGGTAATGTCAGCGGAGGCGGTGGCCGAAGTGGCGGAAATGGCGGCGGAGGGGAGGCAGTTTGAGGTGGTGTATTATCCAAAAGCGGGGTGGTCGGACTTTGTGGTGAAGGCTGAGGTGGTGGAGAAGGCCTTGAAGGTGTTTTGGACAGCTGGGATGAGAGTGAAGATGGCCATGGAGACGGAGGACTCGTCCCGGATGACTTGGTTTCAGGGAACTTTGTCAACGACCTCGGTACCGGAAAATGGGCCTTGGCAGGGCTCACCCTGGCGCATGCTTCAGGTATTGGTTCTTGAGGTTTTAGTCTTACTTGATATAAGTTTATTTCAGCTGTTATTATCTTCTAATTGATGCAAAATTAAGAAACTCATATGTTTTACTGGAGCCAATTCGTTTCCGAAAAACGCATAAACCCTGGGATTATCGTAAAAGAGGGACCTGAGTGACTCGCCCTAATCAAAGAGCGGGAGAGGGGCGAAGAAACTCGATCGGTTACTAGGGACGAGCAAGGGCGAGGCCCTTCTTTGAATTAGGGAACTGGGAACATATCGTGGTAGTTTATATTTGTTGAAATGCATCAGGAAGCAGATATGCACATAATTTTGAAGAACCATTCAATATTTGATTTGGTTTTGACCTGATCGGATGGCCTTTACGCTAAGCAGACAGTTTTTCTTTTGTTTTAGTTTATCCCCGAAGATGCAACCATGGCGACATTCTATCATGGCTATGTTTGGCTGATATTTCTGTTGAATTATAGTCCTGTTCAATTACTGGCATTTATTGATGAGAATTTTTGCTTCTTTTAAATGGTGTACAACAGGATAGGCCAATTTATGTTGCGTTTTAGTTTTTGGAGTAGAAGTTGACAAGAAAGAGCAGTTGATAGTTCCGTAGAGGCAGACGTGTAATTAATTAATTTGTATTGTGTGACACCGACTTGCCGGTAGAGTTATTTTGTTTTTGGTTCAAATATTTGATATCAATTAAGTTAAAATTCCTTAACTTATACATCTCTGACGGCAGAGAAAAAATGGAAAAATTAAAATAAGCTTTTGGTTGTTGCCAAACTTACTGTAAGAAAAGAAATACAACGTCAGAGTAATCTGAGTCGAGTTGTGGGATTTTCTTTCGAAAAGTTTGCCTGGTTTGAATCCCTACTTAGCCAGGGTTGTACCTGCCTATGGCTAGTTTTCATAAGTTGTGTGATCTTTTCTTGTCCTTTTAAGTTTGCGGTTTAGCAAAGCACAATTTCTCTGTGTCACACCAAAATTGAGCAACCTGTTAGATCAGCCACGGAGGGACAGGGAGAGAGGGGTATTATTATTAATATTAGTTTTTTATGCGGAAGTACATGCACAAATATTGTAATTTTCTACAATTGGTTACATTCTGAATTATTGTTCTTTTCTCTCTATTATTGACCGATGCTAAATTACATACTTCTTGATAAGCAATTCAAGTAATTAATTAGCTTTACATTATAGGTTACATGGGATGAACCTGAAGTTCTGCAGAACGCTAAGAGGGTGAGCCCGTGGGAAGTCGAATTTGTTGGATCAGCACCTTCAATTCATACTACCTTTTCCCCCACAAAGAGATTCAGAGCTCCTCTGAGTCATGGGCTGTTGACCAATGCAGAGGGAGAATTCTTTTTTCCTATGACGGGAGCAGCTAATTCAGCAATGGTGCCTTTTAGTGCATCCTTGTTGAACTATAACAATTTTCCTGCGGGCATGCAGGGAGCCAGGCAAGATACATTCTGTGTATCTAATCTATCCCACTTGTTAAGTGAAAACACTCCTCAGATGTGCACTTTCAATTCCATTGGCAAAAATGAGGGGCCAAAGTTGAAGAGGGTGTGTACTGAGTTGAACATTGGTAGTTCACAATCTGATGAATTGTCACCAGATAGCCAGAGTAGTGTGCAATCCTTTGGCATGGAACTTGATGGAAACCGGTCGCAGACAAAGGTTGGCAGAAGTTCGTTTCAGCTGTTTGGTAAGATCATTTATCTGAACCAGCCTGTTGAAGGATGTTTTGATGATGTTGGTTGCACCGAGGACAGTGGCAACAAAGGGTACAATGAAACTGAAGAAGGGCACAACCAACTGGATCTTTCTTTTACCAAACTTCTTGATAGGATTGATGTTCAATGTCAGAGAGCATCAGCTCTTGAAGCTTGTACTTTGTGAACTGCTGGTGGCTGCGGTGCCATAAGTTGCTGTACAGGTAATCTCTTCTCACCGAATGAGTTGTCAAGTATACAACATGTACCTTACAATCAATTTTGGATCGGACATGCTTCAGTCGTACGGTTGAGGGTTTTGCATCTTCATTCCTTTGTTAGACTTGCACAAATCCTGTTTTGCCACTCCCTTCGACAACCTCATGTACCTGAGATATTCTTTGTGTAGCTCTAAAGCTATTTACATCATTACACCATGCGGAACAATGTTCTTTCCATAGTTCAATTGCATTTCCCTGGGTTTAGGACAATGACATCGTTTTCATCAATTTCATCAACCATTTTATTAATTCAGAGATTTGCTGGTTTGTTAGATTTTCTTGAACTGCCTACATCTCTTTTTGCAACTGGAGGTACAATGTAGGATCTTTCCTGGCCTTGTCTTTTGTCCTATATATAGCTAGCAATGATATATTTCTTGTACTTTAAAGGATGATGAATCACATACAGGGAAGAAAAGAGGGACTGCTTTTTCGATCTCGGGTTATCACAACAATTTAAGTATTATGTGCATCATGTGTATCCTTTGGCATTTGAATCTTCAGCCGCATTGAACTGTCAGTTAAGCTTCTCTGAAGAAACAAAATATTATCCGACTGAACTGGTTTGAGCATCTTGTTTTTGGTTCGTGCAACCTGAATTTCTTTACCGGTGAGCTTTGCCTAATACTCGTCGTTCTGTATCTATTTGCAGGCGCTCAAGGCCGGCAGGAAGCTGGCTACTAGTCTTAAGGTGTTGCAGTAGTGAAGTGTTATTGTTGGGGTTTGTTTAGTTTGTTGTGTTGGACGGTTGAACGATCAGTGGACTTGGTTTCCTATGCTCCATCCAGACCAAGTTATTTGACGATGTTAATGCTAGAACGTGACATTATTATTGCTTTAGGAATTGGTGGCGCTCTTTGTTTCTTTGATGGGTTAATTTGATTGTTATTATTATTACTACCATAAATTTGATATGTTAAACTGACGTGGGTGATGCTTTCTTAAAAAAAAAAAAAACAGCAGAATTTGTGTCTTGTAATTACTAAATTGCTTATAGGTTTTATTTCTGGCCAGTTTTAATTAGAGGGATAGGAGGATAATTTCATTGAGTTTTGGTCGACAACTAGTTTAGATTATGTAATTCTTATGGTTTCTCATTGAATCCTATTCCGGATTTTGTGTTAAGAAGCGACGACGAAAGGTTTACGGCATTAATACACCGTCATTATAGCATTCAGTGTCATGAAAGTTGGTCTCCTTAAACGTTGCCATGAATTCTTGATTTTTTGAATAAAATTTATGTCGTCTCTTGTAAAAAAATAAAAAATAAAAATAAAGACGTGTTGCAACATACAATTGGGTGTCTAAAGATCTTTTTCGGATGTTGATAGAATCCCCTAGAAAGGTCATGGGTTCTTGAGCCCAAATGACAAAAGAGTGATGGGTCCTCAAGCCCATATATCGTCCAGTTCTCTGTAAACCAAAAGAAACCAAAATTACAAATTCATCCCTGCCATTTACCACACACCATCGTCCTCGTTGTCTGGAGCCTGAACCAGGAGCGGCAGCTGCCTACACAACAAGAAACATCGGCGCGGCGGCTTAAAGGCCTAGAGGGAAAGGTTGCCGCATCTCTATCTCACCGACCGTCTGTCTTAATTTTAATTTTGCTTAGTTTTTAATGGCGAATTCGTTGTTTCTCCCAAATCACACTTTGATAGCTCCGCCTCCTCGTCGCCTCTCCGCCTCCGTCTCCTCGAAACCCAACAAACCCCAACCCCCTCTTCTTCCTTGTCCTCCTCCTCTAGGGTTTATCAACTTCTCTCTCACCTCCAACTCTTCCTCCTCCATTATTAATCCCAGCAGCGGCGGCATCAGCAGCAGCAGGAGGCGAGCCGCCTCTTCCTTCAAGTCTCGTCTCGCTCCTCAGGACTCGGTTCCCCCAGTAAGTACGCCCTCTTCATCCTCTCATTTCTAATCGTACTTTCTCAATCATTTTAAAAATAAAAAATAAAAAAGGGGAAATTTGCTAAATTGTTTTCTGTTACTTGAGATTAATGGTCATGGATGCAGAGGATTTTCGTTCAAGTTTAAGTTGAGTTTTTAGTTTGCTGCCATTTTATATCTGAGCATTATTGCATCGTCGTTGCTGGATGTTTTGGTCAAAATTGAAGCAGCGATTCTAGTTACTTTGTTTCCAGTCAAACTAAACAATCAAGCATTTCGCTTTCGTAGATTCTGATACACTCATTTTAATGAGCTTTACGCTCAGGCCGAATGCCGAATGCCGAATGCCTACTCTGAGATTCATGTTTCGTAATCTTCCATGTTAGGCTCTTTTGTCTTGCCTTGATCCTTTCTGTAGATGGTTATCTTCTTTGTTTTTTGTTTATAATTTATATCTTCGCTTATTTTTCTTTATATTTTTATGTCTAGACGAATTCCAGAAAGGAAAGTAGTAAGAGCAATGCAGGACCTTCTGGAAGCGGAGGAGATGAAGAGCAGTTGCCCTCTTTGAAAACCCTCCTTAAAGTTTACAAGGAAGCTATTTTTAATGGGGATGGAAAAACTGTATCCGAAGTTGAGGCTATTATACGAGTGATAGAAAATGAGAAGAAAGAGTTAGTCGAGAAAGTATCTTCTGCATCGGCAGAGATAACGTCTGGGAAGGAGAAATTGATCCGCTTGCAAGCAGATTTTGATAATTGTAGAAAAAGATTTGAGAAGGAGAGGCTGACCGTAAGGACGGACGCCCAAGGGGAAGTGATTGAGAGTCTTTTGCCCATGGTTGACAATTTTGAGAGAGCCAGGCAATACCTTAAACCCGAGACTGAAAAGGAAAAAAAGATTGATGCAAGTTACCAAGGTATATACAAGCAATTCGTTGAGATTATGAGGAGCTTGCATGTGGCCATCGTTCCAACCGTGGGAAAGCCTTTCGATCCTTCGGTAAGTGAAGGCCTTTAAGATTTACTTCCTTCAACTTATGCTCCAAAAATTAAATTATGCCTTTTTTGGTCAACTTAAATTCTTGTGCCTGTTTGCTTATTGGTTTTTCATGCTTATTTTTTCTGCTCAACCAAATAAAGTGATCTTAGAATGCAACCTTGACTATGTGTACCTTTTGAAGGATTTAATATGATATATTTTCTTGGGTGCAAATGATGAACAAAAGTTACTCCGTGTTTGGAAGGGTTTTTGAGGTAGGATGACAATAAGGGAATGATACGGAAAGGAAAGGACGAAATTGTTTCCCCCTTTGCAAATTTTGTAATATTCTTTATGGTTATTAGACCCTTGCAGTTCCTCTACCCTATCCCTTCTACCAATTGAAGGAGAAGTTATCTTGCATTCTACTTTTTCCTACCCTCGTCCTTCCAAACATACTGTCCGTAAATTATTGTTTGTTTTACTGAGGTGTGAGACATTCTAGGAATAGAATTACAGTGTATATGGGTCAGTATAAATCAGGGACCTATGCATTCGAATCTTTTTACTCGGAAAAGATTGGGATAACCTTAATATGCACTAAGTCCCCAGTACATGCTCAAAGCATTTTGCGGTTTCCAGTCTCCGTACCTCCACTATTGCCCAAGGGCTTATCTACAATCAAACTTCTAGTACCTTCAGTGAACATTGGTCGTCTGTGTGTCTACTGTATACATCTCCCTGGTCAGGAGATTGTCCTGCTCTGCCAAGCAGCACTTTCTTGAATTCTTTTAAAGCTATTTGTTATTGACGATAAGGTGTGGAGTTTTCATTAAGATGTGGAAGATAGAAGAAATTCGTGGATTGGTATGTAGAGTGATTAATTTTGCACTTCGCATACCATTCTTATGTGTTTTGCTTCTTATTGATTTAGGCTTCGATGGGTCGAAATTTTCTTTGGAATGTATAGTAGATATAATATTTTTCTGGCTCTTGAACCTTGGTCATGACTGATGAAAATCTTTTTCTTCCTGCCACTAGTTGATCTGCACCTCCATAAACTTTCCCATGCCTTATAAGTTTTCAACTTTCTATTACAGTTGCATGAAGCTATTGCACGCGAAGAGTCTCAAGAGTTAAGGGAAGGGATTATAATCCAAGAAATCCGCCGCGGGTTTTTACTTGGAGGTCGGCTTCTGAGACCAGCTACGGTTAAAGTCTCATCAGGGCCCGGCAGTAAGAAACCCCCAGTGGCCACTGAGAAAACAACTGCAGGAGTGGAGAAATGATAAGCTCTCTCACGCTAGCTGAACTCGAAGATAAGATACATCTGCTTTCATCAGCCAATCCGGCATTTCCGAGGTATACAAGTTAAAATTAAATTGTCACATTCGCATTGTGTATGTGGTACATAATTTTCTTGAGGGGATATATAAATTCGTTAAACTTCGTTATTTGTTGGAAGAGATGCCAAGTGTGAATCGCCCGTCATGAATCTAATAAAAGGGTCCCAATGCAGACTGGTATTACACTGAAGAGGCCATTTGGAATTGTTTGGTAGAATGAAGGCTCATTAACATAACAAACGCACGAGTTCTCTCATAAAACCCGTCCTAACCTTTTTAATTTCAATATTACAAGTACTGACTGAAAACAAATTTAGGTACTGGTTAGGGTTGCAAGTTGGATTTGAATTGCGAGTTCAATATCTAAATGTTGAAATTTGCTGGTTTAGTATCTATTAGCATTGTAAGTTAGTGATATTCATCTTCACTTATAAGTGAAATATCTTATGTTCGGCTAAATCTCCCATTTAAATGAAATATGATTAAATAAAAAAAACGTCTTTGAGTATGAGGTCGAGTTTGGGGTTCTTATTCGTGTGGAGTCATAAGTTTTCAACTCAACGACTATAGTCCATGAGATTCGAATTGGGGATCTCCTTCAACAAAATGGAGTCTAAATGCCACGAGACAAATCCGACATTGATAAAAACAAATTCAATGATTATCGTCCGTGAGATCTAAATTCAAAATCTCCTTCAATAAATGGAGTCCAAATGTCACGAGACTAATGTGTGATTGATAATACCTGAAGGCCTCCTTTGGTACATAGGATTGAATGAAGAAATAAAAAAAAACCTAATGTCCGACCGAAGTAGACGATGAACTCATTAAGAAAATTCATTCATTCCAATCTATCGAAAAAAGTATAACTAGAAGGAAGAAGTTTTCTTCATGTCTAATCCCCTTATGTTCTTCTACAATAGCAACAACAAAGTCTTATCCCACTAAGATGGGTCGGCTATATGAATCCTAGAACATCACTATGCTCGGTCTTGTGCCATGTCTTCTGTTAAAAGTCCAAGTCTGTTCTTTGGATCTCTTTTTAAGTTTTCCTAGGTCTTCCTCTACCCCTTCGACCTGAGCCCCTATCTCGTAATCATATCTTCTAACCGGCACGTCTGTAGGTCTCCCTTCTATTCTTCTAAATATGAAAATCATTCTCCTCTACCTTTAATATACCTTGAATTTAAAAAATTATCCACTCCAATTCAATCCAAAAGAGACGAAACTAACTATTGCATGGTACGCATGGACAAAGCTTATGACTTGGCAAACAAGTTCTCTAAGGGAAATTCTTTGATTCAATGAATGGAGATACCAACTGGCCAAGTGGAAAGGACTCAAACTTCTTCCACACTGATTCCGTTCACTTTTAAATACCAATTAATGATATGAATGACAGTATGTATACATATACAATGTCCAAACGTCCTCCACCCTCCTATCTAAGGCTGCACAACAAGTGGGAGACTTCAAATTTGATAATGGGTAGCATGAAAGTCTGGTTATGTATATTTCTGCCTTTGCTTTTCTTTTCGGGGCAATGAAGCCCGTGTTCCTTGCTCGTTCTCAAATAACGGTAGCTGACAACAATAGAGTGCTAAACAAGTGTTGCAGGCTAGCACTGAAAGACGGGTTGGAATGTACTTTGAGTCCAAGCGATTTGATCCACGACATTACTAGTTCTTGGCCATACTCTTCGGAGCTTCTGATCAGCTGAATGTGAGACAATGCCAGGGAGGCATAAATATACTTGAACCCTGCAAAAAGTACTTGGCTGTAAGACATAATGTATATAGTCCCCGGAAGCACAACCTGCAACAGGGGTGCAACTTATGTTCGGTGAGTAATATAATTCTTGTAATATGTGTTGTGTGTTCATAACTTCATGTGCACCATGATTAGTTAATGAAGTTTCGATGTGATTTTGAGAAGCAAAATTGTTTAGTTAGTTCACTTAGAACATGGTTTCATAAACATTGATCAGAGCATCAGCCTGTAAAGGGATAAGGTCACCCCTTGATCTTATAAAACACAATTAATATTAACAATGTCATCGGCTTCGTTTATTTAATATGCTAAAATACACCCAAAACATAAGCAGAATGAACGAATAAACATTAACAAGGCAAACTACCTTCTCTGTGTTCTTGCTTCTTGCGGGATACGAACGCCTGGAAGAATGTCACGCCGAGAGTCTCCTCTAGTGGAAATCTGCACTGATCTTACAAATATCTTCTTAAGAGCAAACTTGGAAGGTCACATATCCGCAACAATGTAGGAATAGAAAGTGCCAAAACCTCTTTAACAATGAAGATAACTCTGTTGCTTTTGCAGCTTCCAACTGGTAAGCTCTATGGCATGACCAATGCAGGAACCAACTTTCTAAACTTATATTTTCTGGATGCTTGTGATACATGCTGCACAAGCATTCTCCCTCGATCAAACAACATCGAAGTTCAATCCAAATCTTCTTGTTTCCCCAAATGTTTTTCGTAAGCTCTTTTGACTCCAGCACAGATGTCACCATAGGAAGTAGCTTCCAAAACCTACAACTTGGTTCTACTTTGTGACTATACATTCGGGCATCTATGTATCCCGTCCTTCATGTGGTGATAGAAGCATAAAGATCTCCCTCTCATCAATCTTATGCAACTTTGTTCGATCTCTGGCAGTCAATAAATATTAAATTCTTAGACACGTCGATTGAAGGATTAGCATCTGAAAACTTTTTCATCTGTTCATTTTTGTTCTCCAAAACATGATTACGGAGAAATCAAAACTGGCACTACCGAAATAATTAACCATCCATGTGCCTGAAGGAGAAACTCAAAAAAGCACAAAGTTCGTTCTTCAATGATTTTGTGACATTTTCATCCTTCTTCTGCTACGCTATCATGATCACAAGCTCAACGAGTAAAGTAAAGGTTATACCTCAGGCTCAACCCCGAGTAACCGCATCTTCCGAAATAAGGCAATGGCCTTCTTGGCCGTTCCGTTAGTTAAATTAGCAGAAAGCAAGGAGCTCCATACAGAAACATCCCCTTTAACTTCAAAGTCAAAGACTGATTTAGCATCCTTGATACTACCGCACTTAGCATACATGCCTACTAAGGCACTCGCAAGGCTAAAATTAGACTGATCGAGATGACTCTTTATGATATGTCCATGTAATTCTCTTCCAAACCTGAGAGCTTCCAAATCACCACAAGTGAGAAGAAGTGTCATAAGCGTAACAGAGCTTGGTCCAAGACCTTCTTCCAGCATTTCACCGAAAAGCTCAAGAGCTCGGTCCAGCTGCTTGTTGTTGACATGGCCTGCAATCAAAGCGTTCCAACAGATTGTGTTTTTATCATCAGTTCTCCTAAATACTTTTGCTGCTGAGGCAATATCATGACATTTTGAATACATGTCGATCAATGCACTTGAGATATAGATATTAGGCTCGACGCTAGTCTTCTACGTGTATCCATGGATTTCCTTCCCCTGGCATAGTAGATTAAGATCAGCACAAGCTGCAAGAGCACCGGCAATGGTAATGGAGTTTGGTTGAACTGACTTATGGAGCACATCATTACCAAAGTAACCACTCGATGGGGATTGCATGGTCTGGAACACTTTCAAAGCTTCAAAACTAAGCCCAAATTGTTGAAATCCGGAAATTAAAACGTTGAACGAAATAATATTTGGCTTCAAATCCATTCGGACCATCTCATAAAGCAACTCATATGCCTCATTTATTTGCCCATTTCTTGCGTGGTCAGCCAATATTGTGTTATAAGATACCACATCAGGTTTTATGCCATGACTATGCATTACTCTAAGAAGTTCTATTCCCTTATTTGCTTCTCCTGCATTTACATATGCTGCAACCATCTCATTCCACATAGAAATGCTTTTACTCTCGGCTTTGGAAAAAATCCTCTCTGCGTAATCATTCATCCCACATTTTGAATACATATCAATTAACGAACCTTCCACGTAAACGTTCTCACACAGCTGACGCTTCAGAGCAAATCCATGAACAGCCCTGCCTAAGTTTAAATCTTTCAGGCCTGCACAAGATGGTAATATGCTTGCAATTGTAACAGAGTTTGGATCCTCAGGGAAACATAACATATTATTGAATGCATCCAAGGCATCCACAAAAAAGCTATTCTGAACACAACCGGAAATGATTCCGTTCCAAGTACTAACCCTAGGCTTCAACCCTTCTTCCTGCATCGCTTCCAAATACTGAAGAGCTAAATCAGTCTCTCCATTCCGCGCAAACCCTGATACAAGCGCATTCCAAGAGATCAAATCCGGTTCGACACCATTCACCTGCATGGACTTGAAAACCTCCATTGCCTCTTCAAAAAGACCTTCATTCATGAAAGCAGAAACAAGGGCAGTCCATGAAACTACATCTGTTTCCCTCATTGCATCAAACACAGTCATTGCAAATCCCAAGTCCCCACAATTGGCATAAAAATCAATAAGCGCATTCCCCACGAAAACATCGGAATCCAAAGCATTCCTTATCACAAGCCCATGAATCATTTTACCAGTCCTCAACATCCGCACCTGAGCACACGCTTTCAGAACCGTAGGCACAACGTATTTATCCGGCACAATGCCCTCATCAATCATCAACTCAAACACCAAAAATAAATCTTCCCACTGCTCTGACCGACAATATGCGCTTATCAACGCCCCATAAGTGGGTACAGTTCTCTGGGGAATATCGTTGAACATCTTACGTGCATGGTCTAAAAACCCATCACTCTTCGAGTAAAGCATAGCAAGCTTGTTTCTTACCCAACCATTAGCCTCAAAAGCTTCCAACTTCAGAGCTTGGGCATGAATTTGTCTACAGTCAGACAAAGGGTTGCTCTTCAGTAATGAAAGGAAACGACCAATTTCAGAACTGGGTTGGGCAGCTATTGGATTGTTGCTGATTTTGGCGGGAAAGGAGATATGGGTTTGTTGGTTTGCTGGGTTTGATAGTGTGGCGGTGGTGGAAACGCAGGTTGTGGCCGTGGAAGCTTGCAATTTGAACTTGGGTTTGTGGGAATTGCTGGGTTTTTGTGAGAGGGAGGGTTGGGCGAATAGGGGATTACTGGGGAGCAAACAAGTCCAAAGAGTTTCCATTTCCAAAACGAAAGAAATGGATAATGAAAGGACAACTCCGCCAAGTAAGAAGAAGAGCAAAGGGATGAGGAGGACGAGGACTCAGCAACCGAGCTCTACGGCGGCGCGCGAAGAGACAGAAAGAAGATGCGGAGAAATGGAAAATATTCAGAGGTATTTGTCGAAATGTCCCCAAACTTGTAGCCCACTGCTAATTTAGAATCCGTTTTACCATCAGATGCTAATTCAAAACGGTCAAAAAATGTTTGGACCAAAATGACGATACTGCCCTCTGAACTAACGGATTCATGGATGAAATGTGTGAGATTCAACGGAAGATGGGAATTTGGCAATAAATAAAAGTTTAGGACAGTAATTGGCTGAAATTAAATTCAAAGAGTAAATTAGCAGTACTAGGCTACAAGTTTATGAGGGATTTCGGCAAATAGGCTAATTATGTAATGGGCTTGTTTTTTCTGGTTTTTGAAGTGCAACCCCTCGCTGTTGATAAACACGCTCGTTGTCTTATTTTCTCTTCTACTTTTTAATATCAATTTTACGCTCTTGTAAATCGACATCTAAGACCAAAACTTATTGTCTGTATGGTAACATGGTTTTGCAGAAGACCGCTATTTTTGGGGCTGTAGCTCGTTGTCTGTATCGCTCTTCCTACCAACCAAGGCTTTCTCCTCCGAATTTCCGAAGAGAAAAGGTTGGTTGGCGGTGGAAAGGGGTTGCCGTCGAGTTGGGTTGGGTGGGCATAGATCGTCGGAGCCATTCCAGTGTCTTTTGCAGCCTCCCATGTCTAAATTTTTTCAATATTTTAGATCGAATTCTTAAATCATCTCTAAAGAATATGTCAAAATGATAAAAAGACGACAAATTTTTCCATCCAGTGCGTTTTATCTGATGTGGACTTGACGCCTCCCATCCAGGCGTTTGTTTTGACAGCAACGTCAAATCCTTTCCATTTGCATTATTTAATAAATGCCTCTAACAATCCACCAATCACATGATGTACCCAGACCAATGTGCACAATTTTTTTTTTACAAATTTTACAACAGTAGGACCCAAAATATATAATTAAAAAATAATTTGACTCATCCTTTGGAAAAATGAAAACTTAGCATCTAACTTCAAAGTGCCATTTCTCAATTGAAATTAGACAACCTAAATTTAACATCTGTATTGAAGATACTTTTATGCGAGCAAAACCTAGTTTTGCATATTGGTGATATGCTACAACATGGATGGCAGTATTGAACAATATCATCAACATATAGACAACAAATCCCAAACATATCGATAACTATAACAACTCATATTGACCATCTATTAGTATTATAGACAAAATTGTGAGCGAGCATACAAAATTGTGAGCATATAGACGATATACTCATGTTATCTACACTATGCATCAAATATCCGTGATATCTACACCGTATCAATAAGGTATCTACGTAGGGTTTTTTAGACATTTCACCCTTTCAATAATATGCCATTTGTGCAGTTCATGTCAATATTTCAATTTCAGCAAGTAGCGTTTTTAATCTTTCTATAACATCTAACTCCCCAAATATATTTGCCATCCTTTTTTCGACTTCATGAAACTATTGGATTTGGACACCACTAAAATTGAAAGGAAATATTGATAATTCTTGATAATTTAGGTGTGAGACCACTAAAATTACATTCAACCAAACTATATCATCTTAAGGTTAACTGCTCACTTGGAAACCTACTCAGAAATTACATTGCAATTAACAAACTTGTTGCATCACAGAATGAAGAAATCAAATAAATCTATATACAAGCAACATAATCTCGTGGCGTTCAAGGACCTGAATTTCCAATGCCAATTTGTTTTGTTGCATCAAACAAGCAAAATTTGGTGTCCGCGGTCCATCGCCCTTCAAACACACATGAAACTACCAAGTCTGCTATGATCGGATCCCGTGATTAGATTTCTTGAGTCAGATATCACTATTTATTGCAAGAAGCATTTCAACGACATTGTATTTAAAGTACGACGAAATAGGATTTTTAACACGTCATTGTACAATCCCTTGTACATACATTTATCAAAGATAATTAATATATGAAGCTGCCTAACATATGTTTCCTAAAGAACCATCTTTTCTATATTTGGAAAGAATCCCAAATGTTCTTGATTTGTAGGCAAAACAAAAAAACATATGACTAGTTTGCAAAAACATATGATTAGTTAGCAATAACCAAGGTTCTAAAAAACGTTAGGCGCTAGTCGGGCGGCAGGCAGGGGCCTAAGTGGGCACCTAGGCAGTTAGGTGGGGCCTAGATAGATTTATGTAAATTTATTATATATCTTGTAAATAAGTACTTATTTACACTTAGTACATCCATCCAACAAAAAAACCTATACTTGTATGGATAATAGAAGAATGATAAAATGCAAAAATAGAAGTAGAAGAATACACAAAGTACATCCATCCAACAAGTTCAATATTTAAAAAACAGTAAGTATATAATCATAATGAAGAGTATTCTTCAATGATATACTAAATTCCTCTTATTCATGATCCTTGCATTGGATTAGACATAGACTAAATTATTTAACATTGTTGTATCTAGTTTATTTTATTTTATTTTTTTTGTATGTATCCTTTCAAAAGTTCTCCAATTCATTTCACAATTAGATGAACTTGTAGTCAATCCATCCTTTGCTAATGAGGTACACCATTTCCATAAGTATACCACCATGAAACTAAAAAATAAAAAAGCACACAACTAATTAAAAAAAATCAAATCCGCCTAGGTGCTGCCTAACCGGCCACCTAGGACCGCCTAGGTGGCCGCCTAGCTCCAGACCGATTCTTCAAAACGATTTGCCCTAAATCGGGGCGGGTCTTCACCACCTAGGCCGATTTTTAGAATACTAGCAACAACATATGACTATTAGCAAGTTAAACTGCTACAAAACATAGATTATATTCAAATCCTTTAATTAGATATGAAATTACTAGCAGAAGAAACTCAATGGACCCAAATACTCAATTCTAGACTTGCAGAAGTAGAAATTCAAAAAAAAATAAAAATAAAATAAAAGAGCTTGAAAATGAAAATAAGAACTTACTATTTAGAAGTTGAATTGTTGGCTTCAATGGTGTTGTAAATTTTAGAAATACGACGAGTTTGGGGTTTGGGCTGGACTGGCTTCTTTTTTTTCCCGAAAATCTCTTGAACCAAAGGAACATGTGTAACAACCCGTCTTGAATAATTTTACGGATTTTAGAACGGAGGGGTATTTTGGTAATTTCATTGGGATTGGGCTAGATATTTTAAATTGTTGCTTTTGGGTTTTAATTTGTGTGCCTGGTGGGGCCCACTGGTTTTAGTTTATCTCTCCCCGACCCAACCTCATTTCCGTTCTTTATGTTCCATTTTTGTCTCTCTCCTTCTCAGACCTCTTTCTCTCAATTCTCTCATCCTCTTTTCTCTATAACATAGAGAAAGTCACCAAACTCGACGAATCAATGCTCCAACCACCACCACTTCCACCCTCTAGACATCACGAGCTGGAACTCGAGCTCTGTTACGTAGGAAAACCGAGCCTAGAGACTCCAACTCGAAGCTCTGACGAGAACAAACTTCCCCGACGTAACTTTGACGGATTTTGTAATTTTCCAACTTGGGTAAGCCTCAAAACACTCCAAATGTTTTTCTTTTCATCCTTGTAGTACATTTCTAACCGTGTTGGTGTGCGTTGGACGTTGAAACTGCAATGAAACCACCTCGGAAGGTTTTTCCCAAATTTTGGCAAGAACCCGTGAGTTTTAGACCGTTTTCCAGCCAACTCCGACCACCACTCGCCATGAAATTGGTACGAATCTCTTCCTTGTTCCTTGGGCTTCATTTTGGTATTTTGCATGATAGGTTTTACTTAGGTTTTAGGGTTGATCGGAACTAGGATAGCTCCAGTTTTCCTTTTCATCGAAATAAGCGAACCCAGCTTGGAATGGGTCAAACCCGACCTGCAGAACCCAGCCCAATCCTTTAGTCCGACCCAAACCTTAGGGCTACGTAACCAAGCCCAATTCGCTTAGCCCAGGTCCAACCCACCTAAACCTAACCCAAACCCAATTTAGAATTGGCCCAAAACCCCTCGACCCAACCCAGAACCAATCCCAGAACCCTGACCATGCGTGGGTGTAAGTCTTGGCTGGCGCGTGAAGCATATGTGCCTCCACTGGAGGTACTATGCTTCGCCGCCATCCACAGCGGCGTCGACGACTTTTCTGGCCAACTTTCCAATGACCCAAATAGGCGCATGCGGTGGTGCGTGGGGGTACTCAAGGTCCCTCATTATGTTTTTCAATGTCCTGAATCCATTTATGACCTCCGTTTCCTGAAATTCAATCATTATGATAAAGTTTTATTAATTGGACCCCTTATGTGCTTAGGTGCAATTATTTATGGTGTTTCCGTCCTCTCTTGTTTGCACAGCTCTTTGGTGGCGAAGTATTTGTGTGTGGACCTCTTCTAAAATGCATGATTTTACTATGAGAAATGCATGCATGAAAAGCATGAATTTATGGATACATTTTATGAAATGTTTATGAGTAAATTGATTTCACGCTTTATGAACATGCTTTATTGACTTTACGTTCCTTGTGGTATATATGATTGATGACTATATACATACTTGTGAACGTGGTTTTACAATATGACGTTTTAGCTACTAAGCTCCGTTTGTTTTAGCTACTAAGCTCCGTTTGAGATAGTATTTATATATTAGAAATATTATGTTAATGTTTTTATGTACTTACTTAGTGGTTATCCAGACGAATTGCCTACAGGCGAATGATACTTATATATTGGCTTCAATTGGGTGCTATAGGAGCCAACGTGCGATTGATATTTATATATTGGCTTCGGTCAAGTGTTGTAAGAGCCTACGGGCGATTGATATTTATATATGGCTTCGGTCGGGTGTTGTAGGAGCCAACGGGCTAATGAAGGCCTTCGGGCGAATGAAGTGTTCTATATGACTTCGGGCGATATTGATACCACTATTTAGCACCACTATATACGATATATGTTTTATGAAAGGTTCTATGGCTTGCTAGGGTTTTCAGAAAACCTATTACATATTACGCTATTGAGTTTTCATAAACTTTGGGGGATAGTACATTGTTGAATAACTATTTTAGTATTACTTATATATCAACTTGGTCCACTCATGTTTTGTTTTGCGCCCCCTCAGGACTTAGAATCGAGGCATACAATCCTGGCGTCAAGGTACTCCCGCATCGCCATCTTTGAGTCCTCACGGTGTATGACCCATCTCTTTGTTCA